GATATTTATAATTTTTTTAAACACTTTGTGTTAAGTTTGAGACATATTTAAACTCTTTAAACCTTTAAAACAAAAAAAAAGTTGATGTTCTGGTCTGAAACGAGGCAATCTCGTAATCAGCCGCTTGAGGGCAGCATCTCCATTTAAAGTAAAGGGGGGTTGGCGTCAGTCATCCTCCACAGGATGTCTATAAAAGTTATGAACAGAATCGGTGACAAAGGGCAGCCTTGGCGGAGTCCAGCTCTCACTGAAAACGAGCCCGGCTTACTGCCCGCAATGCGGGCCCGCAATGGTGATCCCTCACCTATGACCTGTTTGTGATGCGTGATCCCACCAGAGGTGTAAAGCCTCAGACAACTTAGCTCCTAGGTTTTTCAGTGTTCCACACCTGAATGTGTGCGTGTGTGTGTGTGTGTGTGTGTGTGTGTGTGTGTGTGTGTGTGTGTGTGTGTTTGTGTGTGTGTGCGTGCGCGTGCGTGCGTGCGTGCGTGTGTGTGTGTGTGTGTGTGTGTGTGTGTGTGTGTGTGTGTGTGTGTGTGTGTGTGTGTGTGTGTGTGTGTGTGTGTGTGTGTGAACATGTTCCTTACCTGAATGTGTGTGTGTGTGTGTGAACAAGGGAGTAAGAGCAGGGTATCCGCAGGGTCTTGAAAAGTCCTGAAAGTCTTGAATTTGATTTAAGGACAATTAGTATCCTTAAAGGGGAACTATGGAAGTTTGACAGCCAAAACATGTATAGAAGTAATAAATTTCTCCTTCATACATTCTCCTGCAACACCTTGGTCCTGTAGAATGAGCCCTGGCATTTTTACTGTGATTGCCTATTTTTCTGTAAAATCACAGAAAAAGAGAGCTGCTCGGGTCGAGCAGGCTGCTTCATGCGCGTTCAGGCTCAGGCATCGCCTGTAGCATTTGCTATCCGTAGCTTTAGCTGTTCCTAACGCCCAGTGACAAAGCTAGCTACATTTCTGAGGACCCTTAGCTACATTCTTTAGAACTTTCTTCTAAACATTTCCTGCAAATTAGCAACAAAATAGCCATTTTCGCTCTGAACCGTTCTTCGAACGTTGTTTCAGCTGTCATCAAGGATATATATCTTACAGATACAAAGTTTGTCACTGGTGCTTTAGTTCACCTAATAAGACGTCGGACTCTCGTGCAGAAGACCTGGGTTTGATTCTGGATGTGAACATAGTTTATTTAGAGTTTATTTTTTACATTAATGGTATATATTTTTTTACAGTAAGATGCCCAAATTTTAATTTGAGACTCGCCGAACGGCATTGAATTCACAGATAAAAAAGATGTGGCTTCATCTTTCATTTTGGAACAATTTTTCAAGCAAGGGAAGGGAATGATCTGAGCATGCAGGAGGACTGACCCGTCATAAACCTTTGTCGGCTGTGCTGAAGAGAAAGGTACAGAACCGAATTATTTAATTAATTAGCTGCGCATTCTCCTGTCCTCTGTCCTCCGGGCCACACACACACACACACACACACACACACACACACACATACACACAAGGGACTGTCTCAGCTGTTATTTTCATTAAGGAGTGTGCACGTACACCATGCGCTCCTCGTGCACGAGCCTACTATTGAAGCTGCCGTTTCGCTTTTGGCCTGAGGGGGCAATCGCGAGCATAAAAATTAAAAACTCTGTAAAGTACCTTTAAAAAGTCTTAAATTGATTTAGTAAAGCTGTAAGTTTGGTTAGTATTGGCGTGAATTTAAAATGCATTTGTCTGATTTTTACAGAATGTTTACTTTTTTGGCAAAAATTGCCGTTTATGAAGCTAAATTTGACTTTCATGCGAACCGAAAATCGTTTTTCTTTTTAGGAAAGAGTCTTTGGTCGGGTCCAGTTGTTCTGTATAAGAATCAATTTCAGAAAAAGGAGTGTTCACCTTGATCACAAACCATCTTTGCTAACTGGTCGCGAGTCGTCATTTGACCAATCAGTCACGGAGACAGCTTGGCAAAAACACGCTGCAGTAGCTGGTACTAGTGTTGCTTCGACATCTCACAACAAAAATAACAATACAACAGGAAAAAAATCATAGTAAAAATGGGAGAAAAAAATAGAAAAGTTAAGATAAAAACATTAAAGAGAATAAAAACAAAAACGTAAACAGGAGCTTGAGAAATAACGAATTTACAGAAACACCAGCTTGCAAGGGGCGAATGAATTAAATTTAACTTCTCGTGATTGTAATAATGTAGAATTACATTTAATTAATGAGCCACATGGCGTGGGATTCCATAGGAAATATGAAATCCACTTTACGGATCTGTGAGTTATTTAAACCAGAAGATTAGATCTTTTTTATTGCAGATTAGATAACTGCTTCGTATTCACTCAGAGACAACAGAATAGAAAGAGTCAAGTTTAAAAGTTAAGAATTTTATTACTAACAAATTAAACTAGACTGACTTTAAAACTAAATGTATAGTGTAAATAAAATGGATGAGACGGTGGATGGATGACGTGTGATGTTAAATCAGAACCAGCAAATCCGAAGAAGCGATTGGTTCTAACGGGAACTGAAGGTGTTGTCTTCGCATTAAGCTTTGGTTAGCTTCAGAAACACATGAGACGCCATCATGCCGGTCTACCTTGCCTTCGGTGGAAGTCCTCTGTAGATCAGGAATATCGAGGTCCAGTGAACCCTCTCTGGAACTGAGCCGGTAGGAAAAGCCACGGTTCCGACCAAACCCATCTTGAGTTACTTCCGGGTACACGACACGTTTATTGGCATCTGGTGAGACCCAAGCCTGGGTCTGGAAGGTGGAGCTTTTGTTCTGAAAGGAACTGTTGCCGCTGGTTGGTATAGCGACTGGATTTTTCAGCTTGTCGTTGTTCTTTCGGTTAAAGAGTAGAGATCAGGATTGGCCATTCCGTCACTTTCTCTGGAACGCTTTGAACTGGCGTTATAGCTGACGTGGCGTAGTTTTATACTTTGGATGTTATGGTTTATTGTCAAATGAAAATTACCAAACATCGCCAGAAGCACGCCTCTGTCAGATCTGTACGATTCTGATTGGATCAGTGAAAGTAATGTGTTATGTCTTTTTAATGCTACATGAAATGAGTCCTGTTGGAACACAAAGTCACAGTACCTTTATTTTCTATAGGATCATAATAAAGTAATTAATATCTTGATTTCACAGGTCGGTCACATCTTATTTATTGACTAACACTTTGATGGATTAGCTTTATTAAAATAGAGTTCTTTGATTAATTAAAAGAAAAGAGTTCATTCTTCATTCTTCTGTTGAGCTGAAAATAAGCAGGTTAGAAGGAAAGCATGAGACCTTGAGACTATCTCTCATGCAGACTAGTCCTGAGCAAAGAAGGGAAAAAACACAGTCTTCCGTTCCGTTACATGATGCTCAAATCCTTTCAACAACAATTGTCATGTGACTCAAGGTCGAACAGCTTCTTAAAGTGACACAAACATGGCCAGCCTACATACATCTTTTCATTCTTTTTTATTATTGACTTTATTGACACAGGAAAAATGATATTGATTAGAGTAAAAAATGTTGATAACGATACATTTCAATATATCGCCCAGCCCTAGCCCCAAAGCTTTCATAACGCACACAACACTGTTTAGCTAAAGCGGTCCACATGAAGGTTTTTTCACAAAAACAATGCCTGAATGTTAAGTGTTATGGAAAAATGTATGTTTATTAATTATTGATCATTGACTCAATCAACTGAATGTAAATGTATTGCTCTATGCCTCTTTGATCATGCTCACTCATTCAGACACACCCACACAAGCCACTCACACACACACACACACACACACGCACACACATGCACACACACGCACGCACACACACACACACACACACACACACACACACACACACACACACACACACATTCTTGACTTCCACACACACACACACACACACACACACACACACACACACACACACACACACACACACACACACACACACACACACACACACACACACACACACAATATCTCTCTCTCTCTCTCTCTCTCTCTCTTTCTCTCTCTCTCTCTCGCTCTCTCCCCCTCCCTATAAATTAACTCTGTGACCGGATGTTCAGTGCATTTTGCCTCGTGCATCTTGCCACAGTTATAACTGTTTGACTTGTTGTTCATTGTCTCCTTTTTCTCTCTGACTACAGGGAAATGGGTTATTGATAAACATATCGATAAAATCCATGACATTAAGATTTTAGCAGAATGAAGTCACACAAGCTTCTGGTGCAATGTTTTCACTAATGCTGCCGTTAGAGCACCATGTCCAGATGGCTGCACCATCGGCTCCTCCGATAGATGTTGGTTTTCTCAGCAGCTTTCATTCACCATATCAGAGGAACCTCCGGTTCAATCCGGTTAGAAGCAGTAATGTAGCAGTAATTGGTTCTTTCCTCAGCTGATGAAACTCATGATATTTTCATCACAACATAGAAAACCTTTTATATAAAATGGCACAAGGGGCGTTGAATTTACTAAACTGGTTTAAAACGGGCTTTTGTCTGATTTTTTAAAGAGAAAGAGTTGATTTTAATAGATTGGTTTGTGAAAGCCTGTGGTTAAAAGAGAGCATCTTTAACTTTAAATGAATGTTTTGTTTCTCTTTCCTCTTAAATCCTCCCGATACTTGATCCTACTGTAGGTTACACACTGCTACAGTCAGTGGACATTAGGCAGCTGGCTCTGCTAAATATTTATCTGTCTCCTTGGCAACAAATACATTTCTATTTTTGTCCGACTGTGCAGCATTCCCTCTGAAACTCAGCTCCAACTCTACAAAGATTCAGTTTCAGACAGAAACAAAAAACTCGTCCATCATATCACCCTCTCCTCTCTGAGGTCTGAAATCATCTGTTAACCATCAATCTCCATGAAATCTCTAACTTCACTTCAAATTATTAGTTTGGTTTTCTGTTCTTTTCTATTGGCTGTGTGGAATGTCACTCATGTTTAAGGCCCCGCCCACTTGGTTCTGTTTATAGACATCTGCCTGAATGCAGACACAGAGGCGAGGCCTTGCAGAACCCACACTCAGACTCAGCTCTGCTTGACCGTCTTCATCTGCAACGATGGCTGTAAGTATCCTTTACTGAGCAACAACGCTCTTTTGTTGCATCTTTTTCTTTTCAGAGTGAAGATAGATTCTGAAACCCTGTTTAAATGTGGTTCTGGCTCTTTTTTCTGTACACCCATGTGATAAAATCTACTGATCGATGGGTTTAATACAAGAGATTATTGGCTTGAACTTTCATTTTGTAATTTGTAAAAATCTGCTGCTGTGGATACTTTTAATTTGCCATTTATGGTCAAAATATTCCTGACCGTCTGACGGGTCTCAGACGGGTCACATTTATCTGAAACAGAAGATGTGGTTTTGGATTTCCTTCCAGCTGAAAAAACGAGCAGAAATCCTCATGATCTGCTTGGATTCATAAACTTTTGCAGATTACAATGAAGGACTGTGTTAGTTGTCCTCTGGGGTAATCACATTTAGAAAAGGCTGCACAGTCATATTAGAAGATAATAAACTCTACAACATTTCTTAGTTTTTGTTTATCTCCTAAACCCTTAGGTTAAGCACTTATAGTTACAGATGATGTCAGAGATGTTACAGGATTCGATTCATTATTGCAGTTATTTAACTTTAGCAGGACTGTGAGCTTAGTGTTAATTGTCATTGTGCTCATGAGAGGTTTAATGTAAGAGTAAATGACAGTAAGTGAATGGGAGAGTGTGAGTGTCACCTCTGACCTCAGCCCCGCCCCATCCAGATCAGCCCTGCTGACATCCGTCACAGATGGACTCCAACATTGACAGATCGTCCATATTAGCACATTATTTCATTCATCTCTGGATCGATTGTAACAAAACTCTCGACAATAATTATTGTAAATACATTAATAAATCACTAGATTTGATGCATCCTAAGTTCTAATAAATGTGCAGTAGGTAGAAGTCACTCATCACACACATGCTCAGTGCTAATGTGTTGTGCAAGATTTTGCAATACTGCATTAACCAACATTTCTTCATCATTTCTCAACATGAGATGAATATAGTTTGAAACTCTTTCATGAGAAGTGACAAGAATTTGGCATTCCTCCAAGGAATATAAAACTTGTAATTTTATTTATTAACCTTTTTTTGGTAAAGTTGTTTACTTTAGTTGTACTGCATGATTTAAGGATCTAAAACAACAACATCTTCTTAAAAGGCAACATTTGATTTTTGTTTGGTAGAACAGCAGCTACTGCTGGTAGCCATGGCAGCAATATTCAATTCAATTAAAAAACACTTTATTAATCCCAGAGGGAAATTGATTGCTGTAGTAGCTCAGAATAATAATAATAATAATCAAGTCATCAAAGAGATATTGTAAATTACAATGGCTGTTGGCAGGAAGGATCTCCAGTAGCGGTCAGTGTTGCAGCGAAACTGAAGAAGCCTCTGACTGAAGACACTCTTCCGTTGTCAGACAGTCTTGTGAAGAGAATGTTCAGGGTTGTCCACAATTTTCTTGATTCTCTGGAGAATCCTTCTTTGCATTATCTCCTCCAGTGGTTCCACAGTCTCCCCAGAACAGAACCAGCCTTTTTTATTAGGCTGTTGAGCCTTTTCAGGTCCCTGCTTCCGATGCTACTACCCCAACAGACGATGGCTGAAGAGATTACACTCTCAACAACAGACTTGTAGAAGATCTGCAGCATCTTGCTACAGACATGGAAGGACCTAAGCGTCCTCAAAAAGTGCAGTCTGCTGTGTCCCTTCTTGTAAACGGCTTCGCTGTTCTTTCTCCAGTCAGTCTGTTGTCCAGGCGAACTCCAAGGTATTTGTATTCCTCAACCACCTCAACTTCTTCTACCATGATGGAAACAGTGTTTGACTCCACCATGTTTCTTCTGAAGTCTAAAATCATCTCCTTTGTTTTGTTCACGTTCAAGGTCAGATGATTGTTTCCACACCATGCCACAAAACGCTCCACCAGCTTTCTGTACTCAGCTTCCTGTCCATCTCTGACACACCCGACAACTGCAGTCATCTGAGTAATTCTATAGATGACAGGTCTCTGATTTGTACTGGAAGTCTGAGGTGTACAGGGTGAAAAGGAATGGTGAGAGTACAGTCCCCTGTGGTGCTCCAATGTTACTGATCGCCTGGTTTGATGTGCAGTTCTTCAGCCTCACAAAGTGTGGTCTGTTTGTCAGGTAGTCTTTAATCCAGGCGATAGTTGAGGCCCCCACCTGTGTCTTCTGGAGTTTATGGCGAAGCACATCAGGCTAGACTGTGTTAAATGCACTGGAGAAATCAAAGAACATGACCCTGACAGTGCTGCCTGCTTTGTCCAGATGACAGTGGGTTGGTTGAAGCAGCTGGAGGATGGCATCTTCAACTCCAACTCAATGGTGATAAGCAAACTGCAGCGGGTCCTGATATGTCCTAGTTTGCTTATTCAGGTGGACCAACAGGAGTCTCTCCAGGACCTTCACGAGGTGGGATGTCAGGGCAACTGGTCTGTACTTGTCATTGACTGATGGGCGAGTTTTATTTGGAACTGGAACAAGGCAGGATGTCTTCCACAGGACTGGAACCTTCTCCTGGGCCAGGCTGAGGTTGAAGAGGTGCTGAAGAATCCCACAGAGCTGCTCTGCACAGGCCTTCAGTACTCTGGGGCTGACACCATCTGGACCTGTAGCCTTGTTCCTGTTTAGTCTCTCCAGCTGCCTCTTCACCTGACTTCTAGAGACAGATAGGTGGGAGGAGGAGGTAAATAGGGCAGCAGCATCTCCTGACTTGGTTGAAGACAAATTTATAGAACCAGAAGAGTCCATGATTGCGTTAGAGGACAAAAGAGCTGGCGTGTGACAGGAAAATGTTGAATCAAAGGAGGATGGGATGTCTGACTGGCTGGAGACAGGCGAGGAGGATGCTGGATTTGTTCCTGAACTGAACCTATTGAAGAACTTTTTCAGTTCATTGGCTGTGTCCAGGCTGACACAGCCTGACATCTGTGCAATCCTTCCTCTTCTTGAAGCCTGTGATCTTCTTCATCCCTGACCAGACATCTCTGATATTGTTCCTCTGTCGTTTGTTTTCCAGCTTCTTCCTGTATGCCTTCTTGCTGTCTCTGATCTTGATCTTCAGTTGCTTCTGTATACTCCTCAATAATTCCCTGTCTCCCTCATTGAAGGCTCTTTTTTTCTCATTTAGCAGATTCTTCAGTTCACTGGTGATCCAGGGTTTGTTATTAGCGAAGAATCTCACTGTTCTGGTGGGTATGATGTTGTCCACACAGAAGTTTATATAGTCAGTGACACATCCAGTCATGGCATTGATGTCCTCTTCATATCCTTGGCAGAGAGTTATCAAATCTGTGGTCTCAAAACAACCCTGCAGGGCTTCTGCAGCATCCTGTGGCCATTTTCTCACAGATCTTCTTGTCAAAGTTTGCCTCTGAACAAGTGGTTTGTATTCTGAGCCGAGAAAACCAAAACTGTGATCTGATTGTCCCAGAGGAGGTCATGTTTTGGACATGTATGCATCCTTAACATTTGCATAACACAAATCCAATGTCTTGTTTTCTCTGGTGGAGCAGCTGACAAACTGTTGAAATGTTGGAAGTATAGCAGAGAGCAAGGCATGATTAAAATCACCAGATATAGCCACAAATGCATTGGGGTGCTGGGTTTGTAGCTTAGCGGCAATGGAACTGATGGCATCACATGCATTTTCAGCAATGGCTGAGGGTGGAATACAAACGGTTGCCAAGACAACACTGGTGAACTCTCTTGGCAAATAATATGGGCGACAACTTACTGTCAAGAGTTCAATATCTGGGCTGCAGAGACGACATTTCACTGAAACATGACCTGGATGGCACCATCTGTTGTAGACAAGCACTGCCACTCCACCTCCTTTTCTTTTCCCGCTCCTCTTCAGATCTGTGTCTGCTCGTACAGTCAGTAATCCTGGCAGAGAGACGCTGGAATCGGGGATATGGTCCTGCAGCCACGTCTCAGTGAAACACATAACACTGCACTGCCGAAACTCTGGCTGAGTCCTTGAAAGGGCTCCTCCATCTTGTTGGCCAGTGATCTCACATTGCCCATTATGATTGATGGAAGAAATGGTTTGAATTCTCTCTTTCTCTGTCTCCATTTTGCTCCTGCTCTGCACCCACGCTTCTTGCGTTTTAGCTCATTTGGAATTTGTGGCTTCAGTTGAGGTATTATTTCAGCCTTTCCAATGCTAATCAGCTGCTCCCGATTGTAAACCAGCTTGTTGCCATGGTTACACATCATAACAAATGCTCAAAAAGTGAAAAAGTAAAAAAAGCATTAAAAATCCTCCAAGCTTCACAGCACCAGAAACAGAAAAGTAAAATGTCCAAAAAATACCATTTTTCTTGAGAAACGAGAAGAAAAAATGTCCAAGAAAAGGCAAAGCTTACATATAGTCAAGAGAGCTACTCCAACATGCAGCCACCCAGAGCAGCGCAGTTCCGGAATATGGAGTTTTCCCCATTTCAGGAATGAGGGTAACACTTTACAATAAGGATCCCTTTATTAACATTACTTAGTGCAATATTACGCATTAATAAACAATTAAATAAAGTGTTAACAACTGCTTTTATGCATTATATAACATTACTAAACATATTATTTAATGCATTATTAAGCAGTTAACTAATGTTTATTACTGAACCTAAGGGTCCAAAATTCATTCAGTAATGATTAATTATGGTTAAGTGATGCTTAAGTAATGCTTAGACATCTATTAAGCATTTAAAAAGTGTTTATAAATAGATAAATGTTTACACTTTACAAAAAGGGCCAAAAATTAATTTATCAATGATTAATTATGGTGAAGTAATGCTTAGGAGTCTATTAAGCATTTAGAAAGTGTTTCCAAAGGGGATCAACATTTTAACTTTACCTAAGGTCAGGTAAGGGCATCCTGATGACAAACTCAGTACAGCATTAGTAAGACATTAATTAATTGTTTATTAATGCTCATCCAAGTAACATCCAAAGTACAGGGATAAGTGGATGAATTAGTTAGCTGTTACCTATTGCTTATTCTCTGCAAATACACAACCATAATAAATGATTAATTTAAAATTATTAAGGGTTAATTAACACAATAACTAACATGGTAATTAACACGTGATGCAAAGTAATTAAATAAAGCAAGTGTTATTTAAAGCTTACCACTGCACTGACTAAGGTTCAGTAATATATATTAGTTAACTGCTTAATAATGCATTAAACATAATGTTTAGTAATGCTATGCATAAAGCAGTTGTTAACACTTTCTTTAATGGTTTATCAATGCTTAATAATGCACTAAATAATATGTTTAGTAATGCTAATGCATAAAAGCAGTTAACGCTTTCTTTAATGGTTTATTAATGCTTAATAATGCACTAAGAAATGTTACTAAAGGGACCCTTATTGTTAAGTGTTACCAATGTACACACACACACACACACACACACACACACACACACACACACACACACACACACACAGACACACACACACACACACACTCATACACACACACACACACACACACACACACACACACACACACACACATAGTGTTTTTATGGCTGCATACATTGGAAGCCGCCACATGCACCCGCCCAGCCAGGAACCAATCACCCAGGCCCAACCCAAACCCCCATCCGGGGCTGATTGCCCCCAGGCCCAGTCGCCATGCCTTCACCCAGATCCACCCAGGAGCAATAAGGCTATCAGTTAGTGACTTGTGGCCACTGTCAAAGAGCCTCCAGGCCCCACACATGGCTGTCAGAGATACCCCTAAGGTCACTAAAGCAGCCCCAGCCACCGCTTCCTGCATGAACATAGTGACATTCATAAGGAAGTGACATTTTATGCTAACTTTGCTGTTTTGTGAAATACTTAACATCTCATCCGTCGGCTTCCAACCTCTTGCCCAAGCTCAGGTTGCCAGGGCAACAGCCCCAACAGAGAGGCCCAAACTGCCCTTTCCCCAGTAACCTCCACCAGCTCCACCAGTGGCATTCACCGGCCAATGTGGAGATATGATCCACCTAACAGCTCTGCCACCTTCGTTCTACTACCAGATGTGTTACGGTGAATGGTCACATATTCATTTTAGGCATAATGCACAACTGTGCATTCATTATGATTAAAACTGTTTTATTGCACTGTTAAAATAACCATGCAATAATCTACATTCCTTCAGTTTAGCAATCTTAACCAGAGAACATCTGGATTTCTCGAACTTGAGTTTCTCTCCTCGGCTCACAAGAATAATCTCTTCTACACCAGATACACCAAATTAAATAACACAAGCCGTGAGTTTTTCCATCCTAAAGTTGATGAATGGAGGAAAATGTTACTCAGATGAACAAAAATCCCTCGTCACCTTACAGCATTTCAGAGTCTTTCCATTTGGGTGAAAATCAACCTTTTCTTGGCAATGGCACAATTAGAGTGAGCTGGAAAAGCAGCTCAGTGGTAAAATAAGTGGAAACACATGTTGCGGATGGAAGAAAAGTTGGCCAAAGTTGTCATTAGGGTTCATTTCTGCCTGAATTGCTCTGTGTGAGCCTCAGCATGATGGCCTTCCTTCTCTTTTTACACACAGGGTATGATCATAAAGAACTTGTCCTTCAAGGTTGGACAAACCTTAACTGTAGTTGGAGTGGCTAAACCAGATGCTACAAAGTAAGTACCAACACAACACACATCTACATAATTGATCCTTTTTACTGTTAAATTAAAATGTAAATGGGGTTTTACTCCTGATTTCTACAGTCTTACAACTGGGATGGAACAAATGCTGCTTCTCAAAGACACGATTTTTGCTCATTGTCACATTGCACAGTAGAATTTTTAGTTCTATTCATTTCTGTTTTGGTTCCATTTTCTTTTGTCAATTTTTAAGGTAATTTTGCTCAATATGTAGTTAAATTTACAAACTAATCAAAATAATGAGTGAAACTTGAAAGTCCAATATAAAAATATATCTTTAAAGCTTCCTTCCGGAGTATTTCTCTTATCCGATGTCACCAACTAGTGGCTGACAAGCGTATCACACAAAAACGCTGTTCCTCTGTTTTCTTAAGAAGGGGACTTCACGTTTCTGTTTCTAAATGCGCTTCTGTAGCCGACAAACAGCTAAAACACATTGTTTTACGAGTATTATTCTCGTGTCATGCTGTGTTTTCATATATTTATATTTTAGAGCCTTTCTTGTCCGTGAAAAGTTCATCAACTCTGCATTAGCCGAGGTATTCCTTAAATTTGAAGCGTCTAAGCGGTAGACTAATGCTATTGGTTCGTTTTGGTCAGCGCTCAGTTCCTATTGCATGGAGCTCTGCCAGGCAGGGGACGTGCTTAGCAAAAAGAAAAAAGAAAAAAGACGTATTGCTTACATCATATCACAGTACATGATAAGATAATCACGGATTTCTGACAAATCATACATAATTTCTGAAAGAGGAAAGTTCCGGAAAGCAGCTTTAACTGTGTTGAAACCAATTTAAGAACTCATAAAAGGGTCATGTTATGCAAAACTCGCCCTTTGCGTCCTTTTGTGTGTGTTTATGTTTATGTTTATTTATTTGGCAGACACTTTTATACGAAGCGACACACAATGTTTAACCTATAGGGCATGCTGTGATCTGTGGGGGAAACCGGAGAACCCGGAGTAAACCCACGCATGTAACTCCACCCAGAATGGCCACAGCCGAGTATTGAACCTGCAACCTTCTTGCTTCGAGGCAACAGTAAAAAAAATAATAAAAACTGCGCTACCATGCGACCTGTCATGTGGGTCCTACTGACTAAAAAAACTCCAAATCTGAAAAATAAATCTGTTAGTGTTTTATTTTAGGATTTTTTTGTGCCTAAAACTAGCAGTTTAAAAAAACCCACATTTGTGATGTCACAAAAAGGGAATCTAGAATAGAAGCGCCTCTCACGTGCAAAAGAGAGCTGATGCTGGAGGAGCAGTGGCTCAACTTCGAGACCCTCCCAGATATCAGAGCTTCTCAGGTAATAGCAGCCTGAGCGGGGGAGGAGTGGGCGTGGCCAGCTTGTCTTATTTAAGTGACAGAACCCTAAAATGACTTATTCTGGAAGGTGCTGAAACTGTTGAGAACAAAACCGCATAGATTGTTTTAAATAGGAGGGATTTAGTGCAGAGAACTTCATAAAATTGTTTTGTATCAACCACAAAATTACTTTAAATATCATAGTTTGTCTCCTACAAGTCAATTTGGCTGATTTGGAGCACAGAAATATTCACATAAAACATAATAAACCCATTTATTCTCTTGTTCATAACAGTTTTGACTTGAACATCGGCCCTAATGAGGAAGACATCACCCTGCATATCAACCCCCGGTTTAACGCCCATGGAGATGAGAATGTGATTGTCTGCAACTCGTTTGAAGGAGGAAACTGGTGTGAGGAGGTTCGTCAGGGAGGCTTTCCTTTCCAACAGGGAGAGGAATTCAAGGCGAGTTTCTGTCTATGAGCATCTTCACAAATACCATGTGGTGATTCACGTTAACATTTACAACAAACGCAAACATGTTTTGTCTTCTTTCCAATTGTCTTCTGCACAGATTGTGATTGAATTCACCCCCGCTGAGTTTGTTGTGACTTTATCGGATGGCTCTACGATCAATTTTCCCAACCGCATGGGTGCAGAGAAATACTCCGTCATTAAGTTCAACGGTGAGGCTCGTGTCACAAGCTTCGAGGTCAAGTAAACCTCCATCTTCCAGTGTCTGTGGTTGAGCTTCAAGCTACCGTAATGACAAAGGCTTCGGTTGTCACAAAATAAAGAGCTTGCTTTTAGTGACCAGAGTTTTTGTAACTGAGCCCAGATGCAACTATTGAGAATAAACTTTAGCAAATAATCTACGGCACTTTCTGGGTGACTCATCAGCAGCGCTAAAAGCAAAGCCATTAGCTAAAGATGAGTGTTTTTGCAGTTTTTGGAGTTTCAAATGGCCCACCTGGATTCTGTTTTCTTTGACATTCCGTTAAAATGAGATGTACCTGTAACACCTTTAGAATCTATTTTATGTGAAATGCTTTAAAAATGCCAATAAAATCACAGTTAATGAATAGCAAATCTCTGTCCTGACCTTTATGAGAAGAACATCAGTTGGATTTCACCGTTTTGTGTTGCTCTGAATTCATTTATATTTTACATTTAGCCCCACTATCAAACTCCTCATGTCAAAGTTTAATTATTACTATAATTATTATTCTATTTAAGTTTTGCAAGTTGTTCATGTCCAGTGAATAAACAACCTGTAGTGACATATCTTTTCCAGTAGATGTCAGTGTTGTATTATTCCAAACTAGACTTGATGTTCGTTTAAAAGGCGTCCACTAAACGTATGGGGCAGAGTTCCTAGCAAACTCGGTGAGATTTTACTATTAAAGCTATTTTATTTAGTCAATCTTTTGTTTTATTTTAAGCAATTTTAGTGTGCAAAAAGAATGGGCTTTCTCCAAGTTTGCAGACCAATCATTACCTGCATCCAGAACCACATCATATTTGGATGTGTGTGTTCTCAACATACGTGTCTTTTCTTCTCACACTCTTTCCAAAGGTTTCGGCTTGATTCCTTCAATAAAGACTCAATGAAAATGTGTTGGTTTGATGCAAGCTGATAAAACTTTGCAACATAGACACAGGCGATGCACGGCAGTTTGATTTTTGGACTTTTCTGCAGATTTTGTGTTTTATTTCAGTGTTGAAGAGTCCATCCATTTATCTGTGTTACGCTGTTGTTCCTATTCAGGGTCACAGGGAGCTGGTGACCAAATAAGCTCACAACTAGGCCAGTTATGACCTAATAACTAATGACTCTGGCCTGCTTGTATTTGATCTATGGAGTAGTACAGGAATAATATGCTAAGTCCAGGCAGATGGGAACTGATCCCAGGTACTTTACCTACATGCCACTCATGGACGTAATTTTCACTTTAGAAGTGGGGGGGGGGGGGGACACGGGGGGGGGGGGGTATCTTTACAGTATGCTCTAATGGGACACAGGCTTCAAGCCAAACGGTTGTTTTCCGCTTGGTCCTAGAGCTCAACCAGTGTCAATTTAATATAGCGTAATGTTGTTTTTGGATGGTAAAAAGTGCAGGGGTCAAAACTTGACTTTGGAAAAAGTGGGGGAGACATGTCCCCCCTGTCCACCCCCCCCCCACCCTCCCACCCCCCCACCCCCAATTACGTCCATGATGCCACTCCTCCCGGGGTTAAACAAGTAAATGCATCCCATTGAACAGAGTTATGTGAGAAATGTTATCCATTTAGAGGTGTCTATATAAGCTGTAATAAACAGTAATGTTACCCTTCCTGAACAACCTTGGCTGGGAGAAATAACATTTTTGTGCAGCAGGGCTGTTGAACAAAGTGCATTACTGCCATCTCAAAGGTGTGGAACACTGAGAAAAAACAACATTTTTGACATCTTATTCCTGATTAAAATTAGTGAATTTGAATTTTTCATGCAGGCTGAACATGAAAATAGTCTCCTGCATTAGCATCTGATAGAAAATAGACGGTGAAACTCTAGGATTTGAAAAGCCTGACAGATCGACATCACACTCAGTGGCGGCTCATCCATAAGAGGCGCTAAGGCGCCACCCCACCAGTCTCACAGGAAGGTAAAGATATCTATAAGTGCTTTGTATAATCTGCATTTATAGTCTTTCTTGATGGCTTAAACACTATAACCAATATTTTGAACTCAAATTCCAAAACCATAATGCTATTTTTCAAAAAGCACACCCATTTCCCTGAACCATTCACACGATTCTCTGCTATAACACACGAGTCGGATGTGGTGAACTGTTACTGCAAAACTCTACACACAATCCCAACATTTTTCAGTGCTGACATCATGTGGTCATTTAGAAATCACTAGCAGTCAACATTGTGAACTGAAGTCAGCACAACTTGAGATCAATTAGAACACAATTAACCATCTGGAAACACTAGGCATCACAATTTACTAACACACACCAATCAGATGGATAGATAAAAGGGCCAAAGTCAACTCATGCAGGTTAGAAACAATCTCCAAAGAGATGCAAAGGAAGAGGTGGAGGAGGAGGACAAGGAGATCTAGGACACCAGGTTGGAGGAGGAGGAGGGGGAAAAGCAAGGGCAAGGAGACAAGTGGTCTCGGATGAAATTCGAGCCACTTTAGTTGACCGTGTCCTTGTCCATGGTATGACTAGGTAGGCTGGGTAAAGAGTCCAGCCAAATGTGAGTCGCTTCAACGTTGCCTCCATCGTCAGAACCCCTGTCCCCCGCCATCACAAAAGACAGGATGCTGAGGTGGAATAATGTTTGCGGTGTGTGTGGTACTGTATGGACCATGAATAAAAATGTGCCACTGTATTTAATTGGTTTTGTCTTTTTTGTTCATCATGTGAAAAGTTTGTGTGCAAAACAGCCACACGCAACATAACTTGCCTGTTTTCCAAATGTTGTTTTAAATTTAACGTGTAAGACTATGTGGTAATGTGCGTGTGTTTTTGAGGCCTTGTGTGTGATGTTTGTGGGCAAAGATTGTGTGCTGGGTCCCCCTCCAGTGCAAGAATAGGAGAGCCTTTGGGTGCAGAGGTAATGCGACCGAAACCGGTTGGAGTCTCAGCTCAGATCAGGATGTTCACTCGGAGCTGGAAGCTCTCTGCAGTTCATCATTCCTTTTTTTTTTTTAGCTCACCGTACTTTGTTCATTTTAGAGCAGCTGAATACACCTCATAGAGTATTTTTCTTCTCTGGAGAAACAAAAAATGATGGAATGTGGCATCAGAGATTTATAAACTCTCCAGCAGGCAAAAAAAAAAAATCTATTTTTATTATAACACAAATGGTTACAACAATAAACCAGCAAAGGTAAGACTGAATCTGTGCTTTTGACTGTGCCCTTCCATTTCTTTCCTTAAAAATGGTGGTTTGTGGGCAGATAAATAAATTCACCCCTAGTATTTTGTATATTATTTTTTTCCTGATTGCTTAAACTATTTTTTGTTGGTTTAAAAACTAGGAATGTGACTCAAACTTACAAACATTTTAAAGATTTATTCTTATTTTTCTAATAATCCATCATTTCTTTTATTAATCTGCCCGTAAACCATCATTTTTAAGGAAGTGAATGGATAAGAAACATGTTAATAGTACAAATTTAATAGAAATCTGCCTCATTACTTGCTTACACCTTTCCACAACAAGGCAAGTTGCTGGTTTAGCATCCAGTCTTAGCTGGTAGAAGCTAGCCATTAGCATGCATATCCACCACACAACAGAACTCCATCAGGCTTGTGTTATTTGTGGAGATGAAACTTCTATGTTGCAAAGCAAATGGAGTCAGTGGTAGAGTCATGTTGCTGTTAGCCAATCAGAGACGAGATGTCCAAATATCAGGAAATAAGACTTCATGTGTCTGAAGCTCAGCTGTGATGCGGCTCACTTCTATTTCACAGCAACGTGACTCAACCACTGACTCCATTTGATCTGGAACGTTGATGTTTTAGTTCCACAAATAACACAAGCCTGGAGACGTCCGTGTTGTAGGGTTGCTAATGCTAACAGCTAGCTTCTACTAGCCTTGACATATTCTGCTTTCTCCTGGATGCTGTATCAACAACGGCCTTCAATGTTGTGATCAAAGATGGGTGAGTCCATAAATGCTAATGTACAGTGTGACATCCATCTGACTTGCTTTTTATGACCCGAGCGTTTCCCCATCTATGTCCTATCATCAGCCAAGGCAGGAAATAGGGGCTGCATGTTAAACTCAGAGTTACTGATCACATTTAAAATCTATGCTTTCTCAATGAACTTTAAAACAGCTTAATGAAAACATTTCTGTGTTCAGAATTAGACGTTAACATTGGAACAATTGATGGCTAAATCTTTTTTGGAGTTTTGGAATTTTCCACCCTGTTTTAATCTCTCCAGCTGACAGAGTTTGTGAGATAACGGGCGACGTTGCTCTTAAGCTGAAGACAATGAAGAACATAATGTAGCATTAATATTGACACCCTTACAAGCCTTGCTGCTCATTAGCTGGATTACACGTGTTCTACATGAGGCGCAAAGAGATGGAAGCCAAATTAGTCCGAGACAAAATCAAACCAGACACAATTGTTATGCGCACGTCTCTCTGACTCTTGAGGATAAGAATGACCTGATATGATGTAACAGATAGAAATGTGTGCATGTGAAGCTGAGCAAAAGAGACGTAGACAGACAACAGGAAGTAAAGAACAAAGTTTAAGTGAAGAGATTTTCATCCTCTGATCCCTGAAGACAGAGTCTGATGGGATGCTCTTGGAGTTTTGTCTTATTTAGGATTCAGTCTCGTTTTGTTGACTTGCTGACTGATCTGATGCTACCTGTTGATGTCAAAGGTGAACGTCACAATTGAATCTCTTGTTCTGACCTTTCATGTCCCAGTTTAACACCTAATTCATTCACTCTTTTATTCTCTCAATTTTCAACTAGTTTCTCATCTTCCTTCCATCTTGGCTCCACCATCCTCTATCTGCATTATTATTATTGGAAAAAACTCATTTTAACACCTCATGTTTCTATACTTTTGTGTCAGACGAGGTCAATAAGAAGGGATGTGTTTGCTTTGCATCTACTTGGATTATTTTAAGCTCAGCTCGAATCGGTCCGCCTGTTCTCACTTTTTAATCAAGACCTGTAAACCAATAACGCACCTCACTGTCCAAAGGTGATAATGTTTTGTCTGTATGATTGTGTGTGTGTGTGTGTGTGTGTGTGTGTGTGTGTGTGTGTGTGTGTGTGTGTGTGTGTGTGTGTGTGTGTGTGTGTGTGTGTGTGTGTGTGTGTGTGTGTGTGTGTGTGTGTGTGTGTGTGTGTCTGTCACTGGGCAGATGGTAAGGAAACTTTAAGAACATAGTCATCACACACACATATACACATCTGCAATTGACTTACCATTCAGAATGGCAACCACACCCAATTGGCATTAGCTGGATATGAATCAGTCTGCTTTACAGATGTTGATTTTATGTGATGGTGGCTGAGAGTGATGTGCAAAATTTACTTCCTCATATTGCACAAGATAC